CAATATTTGTTCAAGCAGAAGGAGCTCAATTTGAGGTAGAGAAGGTGGTTGGAACTATTGAAAGACTATGATATCACCATCTTGTATCATCCGGGGAAGGCCAATGTGGTGGCCGATGCTTCGCGTAGGAAGTATGCTAGTATGGGTAGTCCTGCATATATTCTAGTCGGTGAGAGATCACTTGCTTTTGATGTTCAGGCTTTGGCCAATTAGTTCGTGAGGTTGGATGTCTCGGAGCCCAGCCGTGTTTTAGCTTGTACGGTCGCTCGGTCTCTATTATTTAAGCGTATCAGGGTTCTGTAGTATGATGATCCTCATTTGCTTGTCTTTAGGGAAATAGTGTGGCACGGAGGTGCCAAGCAGATTACAGTTGGAGATGATGGAGTTTTGAGGATGCAGGGTCGAGTTTGTGTGCCTAATGTGGATGGACTTCGTGATTTGATTCTAGAGGAGGCTCATAGTTCCCAGTATTCTATTCATCCGGGCGCCGCCAAGATGTATCAGAATTTGCGGCAGCATTACTGGTGGAGAATAATTAAGAAGGATATTGTTGCGTATGTAGCTTGGTGTTTGAATTTCCAACAGGTAAATTACGAGCATCAGAAACTTGGTGGTTCATTTCAGAAGATTGAGATTCCTGAGTGGAAGTGGAAGCGTGTCAGGATGGACTTCTTTGTTGGACTCCCACAAACTCAGAGGAAGTTCGATGCGGTATGGGTTATTGTTGATAGGCTGACTAAGTCAGCGCATTTCATTCCTGTGGCAGTTTCCTATTCTTCAGAGCGGTTACTGAGATCTATATCGGGGAGATTGTTCATCTTCATGGTGTGCCCGTGTCTATCATTTTGGACCGAGTGTTGACACCCAATTTTTCCCTATACGTTTTCAATATGAAAAAAATAGCTTCAAAATTGTATATATATGCATATATCCAAGTACTTCATTACTTTTTCTTAATTTAAAAGATTTTTGAACATATTTATTCTCCTATTTTTTATCCATAAAATTCATTAATTGTTTCCAAATTTATCATTTTTGATGATTCACTTATTGCACTTTTATGTCTATGCTAAAATATAGCCAAGGGTATTTTTTTTGCATATTATTACAAATTGAGTTAGTATTTTTAAAGCTAAATTGCATATAATTGCAATATTAGCCTCTTTTAAGATTTAACTGCGTTTATATTCATAAAATTAAGTCCTGTATTTTTTTAAATAGTTAGTTATGTGTTATAAATCATTTTAGTACCTTTAATTTATTTTCAAAAATTAATTTATTATTTTTTATAAATTAAATTGGGAAAATTTGCTATTTAAATGTTAGCCCCATTTTATTTCGATTTTAGCCCAAATTGGCTTTCAATTTAACCCCAAATCATACCCAATTACCCTGGCTCAATTCCTACTCATACCCGACCCCCGATCCAATTAAATCGACCCATACCCGAATCCCACCTAGCCCGTTAATCCCAGCCGTTGATCACTTAGATCAACGGCTCCTGATCAACGGCTCCCGTTCCTCCTTTCCTAATTAAACCCAAAAGACCCCCCCTCCCCCCCAAACCCTCTCATTATTCACCATACGCCGCCTTTGACATTGCTCTTCTCCCAAATCCTCTCTACAACCCCCTCAAACCCTAGCCGCCGCCACCCTAATCCGCCCTAACCCATGGCCTTCCAAAGTTATCGGAGACCTGTGCCAGCCTTCCATGGCTCCTTTGTGTTTGTCCTTATGGTCTCAAGGCCAGACTATGAAGAACTCTGGTCCAGCCTTCGTTCGATTTTAGTTCATGGCCTTTCTCCGATCATCTTTGGCTTTTCTCCGGCCAGCTATAGCCATTCGAGTCAGATCTTTGACTCTCCTAGTTAGACGATAGCTTTCAAGGCTTTTCTCGCTGCTTTTGGGGTTCTTCTAAAACCCTAATCTCTAAGGTTCTTTCGATTTCTTTCAGACCTGCTTCAGACCTATGCTTGCTTTGAACTTCTAAGCATTTTCTCAAAGTTTCTTTAAAGCTTTGCTTTCAAAACTCTGTATCTTCTCCAATTAGGGTTTTCCTGTTAAATTATTTCAAATCTCTTCTCTGATTTTTCAACATGTCTTGCTATGTTTGCTCGTATTGTTCTTCTATCTGAGTTTGCATGATAAAAGCCCTAATTTCTTTTGGCTGTTTGTTAGACGAATGCATGTGTAGTTAAGTTTTGTTTGTTTATCATCTTTTAAACATTACTATTGTTGAAAAACCCTATGTCTTTGAGTCTGAAACGGTTTTGTTTAGATACTTGACTCGATTTGAAGTTCCTTGTTTCAGAATCTCTTTTTCTTTTATGTGATTCCTCTGATTCTAGGTTGCTATTATCTTCAAAACTTGACTATGATTGAAACCCTAATTTTTTCAAAGGGGTTTGCTTACTTGCTGTTGTGAGACCTTCGCATGCTTTTGATATTCTATGTTTTCTTCACTACTGATTCAATGTGACTTGACCTACCGGACTATCATGTTTCGAATGTTGCTATCTACTGAAGTTTGTGCTACTATTGCGTGCTATTTCTTTTGCCGATAGGTTTGGCCTCACATATATAGTGTTTGTGTACTCTATTTATATGCTGAGATTCCCTCTTTGATTGATCTTCAATTGTGACTGATTTCAAACTTTTCTTTTGTGAAAATCTGATTTCACTCGCCCGCTAAGGTTAATTGATTCCTTTCCTTGTTTTGCCTTACTGAATACTTTCCCAAAATAAATATGTTTTTGTACTTAGACTTGATTACTTATTTAATTATTTTACTACTTCTTTTATGGCAAATATCAACTTGCTTACAAATTGATTTCTTTCCTTATTTTGAACCTGTCACTGCCCGTTAACACGCCTACCTGCTGTAAAACAACCACCCTTGCTTCCATCATGGACAACCAATTGGAGACGGAGTATTCACCATCTGAACAAGAAACAGATCAACTAGCACGTTGCACAAACAAACCACCCACCCTCCAAACCTACATACCTCCATAAATCAAATCCGCCATCGCCAACTACCCACTTAGATTACGAATCTCACCTTATAACTTCTCTCACTCTTAATGATGAGAACGACAACCCTTCCAATCACCCACACTTTATCCCAATTACTAGGCATGAAAAAATCAGACTATACAGTTCATGGACTCAATCTGTTATTGTCAAACTACTTGGACCAAAGGTGTCCTACAACTTCCTAAAAAATAAACTGCACACCATCTGGCAACCAAAAGAACCACTCAGTCTCATCGATTTGGGTTACGATTACTATCTTATCAAATTTGCAGTTCAAGAAACTTTCAAAAACATTCTGCAAAAATGGCCTTGGTTCATTGGTTCACTATATCTATCGATTCATCATTGCGATCCCAAATTTAACCCATCTCAAGCCCATACTCCATTTTCCACCATTTGGATTCGTTTACTACAACTTCCTACGGAATATTACGACCTCCAAATTCTATAAAAAATTGGTAACTTTTCTGGTCAACTTCTTAAAATTGATGCATGCACCACGCATACCACTCGAGGACGTTATGCTTATTTATGCATTCTAGCGCCCCTTGGTAAGCCTCTACCCACTGAAATCTTAATGAGATTGTTACATTCCTATACACTATATGAAACTATATTACCCTCCCTACTCAAGTTTTACTATAATTACATTTTATATACCCAATTATCATTTATGTACATATTAAGGAAATTAATGATATTAATTAGTGTCCTAAAATAACTCTTCCAGTATATTCCCACTCCCCCCACATTTCTCTCTCCACATCCCATCCCCCTCACCCACGTATCTTGCACTCACCCACGATTTTCTCTTCACAAATTTTAGAAATCCTCCATTAACGCCTATTTCATCTTTTCTTCGAAAACCAGATGAAATTTTTACTCTTATTCAAAATTTCTACCTCCATTAATGTCTCTGATTAGCATGGTTTTCAATGAAGAAGAAGATATCTTCAAATAACAAACAAAAGACAAAGGAGCAGATATTCTTTCATTTGATTTGGGTTTTCGAAAAATATTATTTATTTGAATTGGGTGTTGTTGCAAAGAATTGTGATTCTCTCTACGTCTCTCTCTATCTCTCAATCCCTAATTTCAGTAATGTAAAGCAAAGGAAAAGAGAGCAGCAATTCCACCATTGAAAGCCATAAAAAAGCTTTGAAGCTTTGAATTCGAATTTGGGTTTTCAAAAACCTTTATTTGTTTGGATTGGGTGTTGTTGCAAAAAAAATGGGTATATGGTTTGGAGTTTATATCTCAATTTTGAGGGTGTTTTGGTGAAGATTAGACTTGATTTTGACTGAATTTTAAATTGAAACTCGAAGAAGAAGAAGAAGAAGAAGAAGAAGAAGAAGAAGAAGAAGAAGAAGAAGAAGAAGAAGACATGATATACATTATATATTACGAATTTGGCAATGCCACTAGATCCGGGAAAGAGCTCATCCCCTACGACAAATAGTTCCATGAAGATCATGTTGTGGAACTGTCGTGGCGCTAACTGCCCAGATTTTAGGCGTAACTTGCATTTTTTGCTTAATTGGAATAACCCTACTATTCTCTGTCTCACGGAGACCATGATGGAGGACCACACCACTCTCCTCAATCATTTTAACTTTACTGATCTTATCCAAGTTTCCGCTCAAGAATACTCTGGTGGTATTGTCATGCTCTGGCGCGCACATGATCTCACTGTTGATCCAATACCAATTACTGCTTAGGAGCTTCATGCTTTTGTCCAGGTATCCCCAACTTCACCTATTTTGTATATCTCCTTAATATATGCTAGCACATCATACCACAATCGCCAAACACTATGTCACAACATACAACAGTTTGCACACGCTCATACAAATGCATGGCTATTTTGTGGTGATTTTAAGTAAAAATGGCGTGTAGTAGCCACTAATTAAGGGTGTCTTTAATTTTTATCCACTAATTATAATGCTCAGCAAAAATAGCCACTACTAATAGAAAAAAGACAATTTTACCCTTTCTTCCTCTCTTTCGCGTTGCATTTTCATCTGGAATACCCAAGGCGATTTCACGGTCGGCCTCCTCCATGCTTGGTCAATAGCATCAGGTCTATTAGTGACCCCAATTACTAGGACATAACCAGGTCCATCATGAGATCCTTCTGATTTTGCTTCACTATTCCTTTTACCAATACGTACCGTAGTTCCTTTTGCATCATCAAAATTTTCAAGTTCTGAATTTTTGAGCAGATGTCTCAATTACGTACAGTAATTTCTTTCTTCTTACCTTGTTTTTGTTTCTTTTGAGTTCAAAGATTAAAAGTTAAGGACATGAGTCTTTAAGTTTGACATGCAGGTTTAAAAGTTAAGGACATGCATTCCTTAAATTTGACATGCAGGTTCAAAAGATAAGGACAAACAATCCTTAACTTATAGTTTCAAGTTCAAAACTTAAGGATAGTCAGTATTTAAGTTATTGTTTCAAGTTCAAAACTTAAGGACTTTCTGTCCTTAACTTTGAGTTTCAGTTTCAAAAGTTAAGGACAGGCAGTCCTTAACTTATAGTTTCAAGTTCAAAACTTAAGGACGTGCAGTCCTTAAGTTATTGTTTCAAGTTCAAAACTTAAGGACATGCAGTCCTTAACTTTGAGTTTAAAGTTCAAAAGTTAAGGACAGACAGTCCTTAACTTACAGTTACACGTTCAAAAGTTAAGGACAAGCAGTACTTAACTTAGGGTTACAAGTTCAAAGGTTAGGACATAGGTCCTTAACTTTGACTTACAAGTTCAAAAGTTAAGGACGCTTGGTCTTGAAGTTTGAGTTCCAAGTTCAAAACTTAAGGACATGTAACCTTGAAGTCCTAAACTTAGAGTTCCAAGTTCAAAAGTTAAGAACATGTAGTCCTGAAGTCCTGAACTTAGAGTTTCAAGTTCAAAAGTTAAGGACATGTAGTCCTGAAGTCCTGAAGTTAAGGACATGAGCAGAATGGTATTTTTGTCCGAGCAGTTAAAGTTTATTAAACCAGTGGCTAAAGACTAAAGACATTTAAAACGCTGGCTTTAAAATAAAGACATAAGCTGTTAGTGGCTATCTGTGCATATCGCCCTGATTTTAACGAAGTTTGTAGTACTAATGAAAAATTTAGGGGAAATCCTTTTAATACTAATCGTTCTGAATCTCTTAATATGTGCTTACATAATGCTAACCTGATTGACCTAGGCTTCACTGGCTCATGTGTTACTTGGAGTAATAAACGAACAACTCATAATAAACTAATTGTTTCCGGACTCCAATGTTCTTCATTTACCTCGTACATATTCCGATCATTGCCCGCTACTTCTCAACCTTCATAAAGCGACTACTAGACCTCCTCCTTTATTCAAATTTGACACCATGTGGCTCACCCATCCTATATTCCAATATGTGGCTGTTGATACCCAATTTTTCGTTATAATATTTTTGAAATGCATATATACCTTTAAAACTATGCATTAGCATCAATGGGTATTTTTCCATAATTTTTTACATCTTTAAATTAATTTATTTCAATATTTTCTTCATATAAATAATTGTAAAATTGCATCACAAATGAATTTAGAACATGTCTTGATTTAATATTACTATTATGGTCCTATTGAGTCCAAATTATTTCATAAATAGCAAAATTGGCACCTTTTGGCTATAATTGCAATAACTTTGCAATTATAGCCCATGCGTACATTTTTGCATTATTTTACCAGAAATTATTCATTTGCATTTTTAAATACTAAATAATTAGTAATTATTTTACAAATTATTTTTAATTAATTTATTGGGGTATTTAATTGTAACGACCCGACCGGTCGTTTTGAGCTTTAGCACATTGCTCGCTAGTTCTCGGGCATGACTTGCCCCACGTGGTGTATTATAACTTATGTAAATCATTGGTTTTGGTTTTCAGGGTAATCAGATTGAATTTGGAAGAACAGCTCCCAGTTTGAAGCTTTAAATTTGAAAGGTTAGACCAATATTTGACTTGCTTGTGTATGATATCGGATCGACATTATGATTTGGTTAGCTCCGTTAGGTGGTTTAGGACTTAGGAGCGTGATCGGAATGCTTTTTGGAAGTCCGTGGAAGGTTTAGGCTTGAATTGGCGAAATTGAGATTTTGGCGATTTCCGGTAGGTAGGCGAGATTTGGATATAAGGGTCGGAATGGAATTCCGAGAGTGGCAGTAGCTTCGTTTTGTCATTTGGGATGTGTGTGAAAAATTTCAGGTTATTCGGACGTGGTTTGGTTGGGTTTTTGATCAAAAGCGGAATTCGGAAGTTTTTAGAAGCTTAGGCTTTAATCCGAGGTCTTTTGGTTGATTTGATGTTGTTTGAAGTGTTTTCATGATTGGAACAAGTGCGAATAAGGTATTAGGTTATGTTTGTGCTTTTGGTGGAGGTCCCGGGGGCCTCGGGGTGATTTCGGGTGGTTGACGGAAGAATTTGGAATTTAAGCTGCAGCTGAAGTTTTTGGTTCTGTCATAACCGCACCTGCGGTTGGGAGGCTGCAAGTGCGATGATCGCAGATGCGAAAAAGCAGCCGCACATGCGGCCAATGTGAAGTCCTTCAGGAACCGCAGAAGCGGTGTCGTGGGCGCACCTGCGGTAGCGTAGGTGCGAGTGTTTGAAAGGAGAGACATTCAGTCTGTCTGCTGTAAATAAAACAGTCGAGATCTATAACTATCTATAACTACAGGGAAAGATGTTAATTATGACATGTGAAGAGAAAAGGGAAAAATTCAAAGAGACCTATGGAGTCCAAATTCTATTCCAAAGTCATAAGAGGATACTTTCTTATATCACTATGGAGTACCTAATAAAAGGTTGATATCAAGTCCAGTTCAAGATTGACACCAGCCAATTCAATACCAAATAGAAATACCCTTACCCAATAACCAACCAGATCAAATTAGAGCAAAAATCCCCCATCTCATTCCACTGTTGAAATGGTAAAGGAGGCATCACCTTTTCTCTTTTTTCTTTTTTACGAATTTCCATATGGAAATATTGGACTTGTACATCAAATTCAGCAAAAATACTTTATTGGATAAATCAGATAGAGCAAAAGAAAAATTCAATCTTGATTAAAGACTGAGTAGAAACAATAGGAAGCCAGAGAGCAACATCCAAAATAGAGCCAAAACAAATCAATCTTGATCAAGGACGTAGCAAAGAATACCTTCGTAATGGCAGGAGCAAAAATTTATGGTTCAGAATCAGACTCTTGAAAGCGCATGGCCTCTATAGCATTCTCAAATAGAATGTACACTGGAAGTTGGTTCAAGCCCCCTACATTAGATTTTCCAACAACAGAAAACTATTAAATCCATCTCATATAACACACGTAACGATAGAGTAAATAATAATACAGCAAGAATTAGAGCATCATCAACCCATTCATTTACTGTAATTTTGAGAGAATTTCAACTAAATTTGCTAGTTTCTCTCTGTAATAGATAAATGGAAGAATATGGGGGAAAAAGAAAAAGGTAAATCAAAGAAAATGGAGAGTAAGATTTGGCAGAGAATAATTAGGTAGCACAAGAATGAAGGTAGCAACACAGTGCTGACAATATTACAAAGCCAAGAGCATTATAAGTTTGTTTGTTTAACTACTCAAGGATTAATAAAAAATGAAACAAAATGTACGTGAGTAAAATGACAAACAGAATAAAACAACAAAAATTATTCTATTTTGGGGTAGCAGAAGACTTACAAGGACGCTCTTTGGATGATTTCGTCATAAACAATGTTGTTTGTAGAATGATCATCACGGTTTGCTAGTGTGGACGGTCGGATCAGTACTTTGACACAACTTGAATTATTTGCTCTCGATAAGGCAACATAAAGTTGACCGTGTGAAAAAATAGGTTCTCGCAAATATATTCCGACGAAATTCAGAGTTTGACCTTGCGCTTTATTTATAGTCATAGCATAGCATAATCTTACTGGGAATTGTGTTCTCTTAAATTGAACTGGTATTCTTTCGTCCTGTGACGATAATAATGGTATTCTCGGGATAAATGCGTGCTTATTGTTAAAATCACCTGTCGCGATCTTAGCACTGATAACATGTTTCTTAATATCACAACATATCAATCGTGTACCATTGCATAAACCTTCATACGGATTCAAATTACGCAATAATATAATGGGGCAATTCTCCTTTAAAGTTAATTTGTAAGAAGGTAAACTAGCAGGGTTTAAACTGTGTATTAGGTCTTCAAATTGACTTTGATCATTAGGCTCAACGGTTTCGTCGAAGCTAACAAATGTAGTTGCTTTTTCTGGAAATTTTGCTATAAGAATATCGTTGATTTCATTCACAAAATCATTTTTCATCGTCAGAACAACGCGAGAATCTGCAAAAAAAGGATTAGAGGAGCATGTGTGTACATTTGAGAATGTCACAGCGAATAAATGGTCCAGAGATTCTTCTTCAGTTGTAAAAGGAATAATCATCGAATCTGGAAGTTCAATTTTGTTATTAGTGTTGACCCTCTCTTGTCCATTTCCAATTCTCATAAGGTAATCACAAAAAGTAGGATCTGTTTTTGCCCTCATTTTTTCGGATAGTTGCAATTTTTCAAGTTCGTCCCAAATGGTAGAATATAGCAAACTTTCACTAATAAAATCTTCTTTTTTTACCGTTTCTAACAACTGGAAGATTTTGTCTAAAGTCACTTCCAAAAACAATAATTTTCCCCCAAATAGAATATTTGTATCCATAAGATCTTTTAAGAGCAAGTCAATAACATCAAGCATTCTTTTTTTAGCCATATATACTTCATCCCATACAATTAATTTTGCATCACGAATCAGACCTACTGTTGAACTTTGTTTGTTGATGTTGCAGCTGAAATTTTCATCAAGGTCTATAGGTATTTTAAAACGTGAATGTGCAGTTCGCCCACCTGGAAGAATAGAAGCAGCAACGCCGGAAGTAGCAGTTGCTAGAGCTATGTATCCTTTACTACGTACAGTTGCTAATAAAGCATGGTATAAGAAAGTTTTTCCAGTTCCTCCAGGGCCGTCAATAAAAAGAAGCTCCTGGTTTCTTGAAAAATACTCGGTCAATAATCACATTGTATGCTTTCAATTGTTTTGTGTTCAGTTTTTTATGTAACGGTATATGCTCTTCACTAATCGTGATGGTTCTTTCAAAGAATACCTCCTTTGCTTCTTTTTCCAATATAGATGGTCGAACTGTTTCTGGGATAAGCTCATATTCGTTTACATTATGACCCATAGAGTGTAAAACATCATTAATCTAATTTAAAACTTGATATTGAATATCTTTTCTTTCAGCATTAGGTAACACTTTGTAATCTTCTGACATTGACTCTTCAAATTGTTTCCATATTTCTTTTGGATTGGCTGGATTGCAATACACCAATAATGTAGCAAATAAACGCCTTAAACTATATGGCATTTGATAACTTGCTGCCTCTGACATGGAATCAATTAAACTGTTATCACAGTGTAATAGTCCCCTTTTTTCTGCGGATTCTCTAAAAGTATTATAATGTTCCCTATTTATAGTTCGAAGATCTTTATATGATTTCGGTCCCCTCACATTCAGCGATAGTAGTCTCAGATAATATCATTCTCCTTCAGTTGGGTGACATACGATATGACCAACGGCACACGTTGTTGTCGCCGTGTCCATGTTTTATCTGTTGTTGACCATACAAAATGTTCAGGAAATTCTTTGTACAATAAGTTAAGCTTTATGGCATCTTTGTTACTTCTGTTCATCTGAACAGAAGTAACAAAGATTTGCTTGACCTTTATTTTTTAACTACCCTAAAAAATAAAGGTCGAAACAGAAGAATGCTGTTTAAATAGCTTCTGGAACATTCCGACCTCGGAATGTGTGAACAATTACCATAATTGTTTCCACTACCATTTAAAACAATTACCATTTCCGACCATTTAAAGTCGGAAGATAGACCATTACTCTAAAATGAACTTCTCAGGTGAAATAACCTCCGGACGGCTCAAATCTAACCAAAACAACTTCAAAGCATAAATAAAACTCATAAGAAACTATTACGGATAACAAAGCTTCAATCTTTATCAAAACTAAAAATCAACCCGAAAGTCGACCCCCGGGCCCGTACCTCGGAACCCGATAAATTTTACAAAATCCGAACATTCATTCCGATACTAGTTCAACCATACCAAAATAATCAAATTCCGATACCATTTTGTCCCTGAAATCATCATCTTACCTTTTGAAAGTTTTCTTCAAAATCCTCATTTCTTCCTCAACTCAAAATACTAATTAAATGATAAAAATAAAGATAGAATTATGGAATATAAAAAATTTTAGGTGAAGAACACTTTCCCAATTGATTTGCTTGAAAAACCCACAAAGAATCACCCAAAACCGAGCTCTCGAACTCCAAAAATGTTAAAAATGGCTAACCCTCGGAATAGAGTACTATGTATTCTACCCAAGTATTAATGCATCGTGATCGCGGAACATCACTCGCGATAGCGAAGAAGAAAAATGAAGGCTGCCCAAATCATACTTCGCAAACGCGACAGCATGCTCACGAACGCTGGGAGGAAAAATCTGGTGGCCCAAAGTTTGAGCTACGCGAACGCATGAAGCAGTACGCGAACGCGAAGAAAGGAATTACGTACCTTGGCGAACGCGGACAGAAGAATGCGAACGCGAAGAGGAAATATATCATCCTCAAAAATTACACTACGCGAACGCGGATCCATGGACGCGAATGCAAGGAAACCAGATGACAGAATTAGCAGTCCAAAAATAGAAGGAAATGGTCTGTATTCAATCCGGAACACACCCGAGGCCCCGTCTAGACACACCAACAAGTTCCATAACCTAAAACGAATTCGCTCGAGGTCTCAAATCATATCAAACAACGTTGAAACTACGAATCACACCATGAATCAAATGCATGAACTTTCAAATCTTCCAATTTCTAAAACTAGCGCCGAAACCTATCAAATCAAACCGGAATAACGTCAAATTTTGTAGGTAAGTCCTAAATGACATAACGGAGTTGTTCCAACTTTCAAAATCGCATTCCGACCCCCATATCACCAATGTCAACTCTTTGTCAAACCTCTCAACCTTCCAAAACTTCAACTTTTCCAACTTTCGCCGAAATGCTTCAAATTACCCTACGAACCTCCGAATCCAAATCCAGACGCACGCCTAAGTTCAAAATCACCATACGAAGCTGTTGAAATCATTAAAACCCCATTCCAGAGTCGTATACACAAAATTCAAATTCTGGTCAACCCTTACCACTTAAGCTTCCAAAACTAGAATCCTTCTTCCAAATTGACTCCGAATCATCATGTAACTGAACTCGACCACGCACGTAAGTAATAACATATAATCCGAAGCTATTCAAGACCTTATGCCACCGAACGGGAGTTTAATTCTCAAAACGACCGGCCGGGTCGTTACATCCTCCCCCTCTTAAACGAATGTTCGTCCTCGAACGTGCCAAGAGTCGTTCCGGAGTCATCAAATTACTGAATGCATTCATCCAACATTCACCCGCGGACACCATCTCAACTACAATTTATCCATTCCATCAATACCATTAAGCCTTGGAGCCAAAAAATTTCAACCATGCTCATCTTCAAAAGACCCGGTTCCTACATTCACACACGGTATCAGCCTCAACCAGCTCAACAACTTATGCCTACACCTACAAAGTACAACCACACAACGTGACGCATCATACATAGGTCCATAATAGCATTTTTTATCACAATAGGTGCCCGTAATTAAATCCAGCACCGGCAATTAGCCTCATATCCGTTAGAACCCTGTTTCAAAACTCCACAACGCTGAAAATAATGCAAGAAACATGAAGGCCTCATAACTATTCACCCGAATCAGCAAGTCACATCCCACGCCACTGGGCACACACCACGCAAAACTCAATAAGCACATCACGAAAATGACTGAATATTTAAGGATAAACACATAAGAGAAATATCAAACAAGCCCGACAGACACAACTCCCTATCAGTACTATTCACAAGGATCTCATCCTAATATCACTCCTACCAAAGCACGCAGCCCGATTCAAACATATCAAATCACATGAAATCGTGAGGGTCTCACCCTCAACTCCGAATCACAAGTAGATCACACATCATACCCTTTGAAACCTTCCACTAACTCAATTACGCTAATAAATCACAACACTTACTGAATTCTCACCCCGTTAGAGCAGCTAAAACCAAATCGTAATCAATCTACTCAGATATCACATCAAAACCTACCGTAATGGACGACAGGAATTCACTTCTGGTCTCGTAACTCTCAATAATGAATAAAATAGAGCAATAGACACGGGAAACCACTTATAGAATTTCCCAACAGGGCAAACACATAAGCAGAATGCTATATCATGAACTCACCCATAGGTGGAGCAACAAATAGAGGAACTCACCTCGATGAGCAGAACCGAAATAAAATACGAGTGTTGCTTCCCTATAACTAATCAAAAGCATACCTGTATGACATCATCTAGTGCAGCAGCCTAAAGCCTACTATATGAAACACATCAATGGGCCAGGCCTCTCCCTCTTGGGCGACCTCTACTCGCCTGAATACCCCGCCATGACACATCTGTCCGGAGTCTGGGATAATCTCTTACCATGTGGTTGGTATCTCTACACTCATAGCAACCTCTCTACTGATGTGGCTGTGGCAACTGTGCGGTACGGGACTTCTGGGGTTTATAGTCAGTCGGAGGGCTATCGAGTTAGATCCAACAAAAATAAAGTCTATTCGAGATTTGCCACCTCCGAGAACCAAGAAAGAGGTCATGAGTCTGCTGGGAAGATTGAATTACATCAGCAGGTTTATTGCTCAGCTGACTACCACATGTGAGCCTATATTTAAGCTGCTAAAGAAAGACGCGGCGATCAAATGGACGGAAGAGTGTCAAGAAGCTTTTGATAAAATCAAAGAATATTTGTCAAACCCGCCGGTGTTGGTCCCGCCTGAGCCTGGAAGACCTTTGTTCTTATACTTGACGGTCTTGGAGAATTCTTTTGGTTTTGTTCTAACATGATGCGACCGCGAAGAAAAAGCAAGCCATATACTACTTGAGCAAGAAATTTATTGGTTATGAAGCCAAATACACGTTGCTGGAAAGAACTTGTTGTGCCCTAACTTGGGTCGCTCAGAAGCTTAGGCATTATTTGTTGGCCTACACCACATATCTCATAACCATAATGGACCCTCTGATGTACATATTCCAAAAACCTATGCCCACGGGAAGGCTAGCAAAATGGCAAATCCTGCTCATTGAGTTCGACATTGTTTATGTCGCCCACACGGCCATGAAAGCCCAAGCCTTGGCCGATCATTTGGCTAAGAACCCAATTGATGATGAATACCAACACCTGAGTACTTACTTTCCGGACGAGGAAGTAAATTCAGTTGAAGTAATTCCAGAAGGCACCATTGCTTGGAAAATGTTCTTTGATGGAGCTGTAAATGTAAAAGGTGTCGGGATTGCGAAAATTTTAATTTCTCCCACTAGCTAGCACTATCCAGCCACAGCCTGGCTTCGGTTCTTCTGTACAAACAACACCACTGAGTACGAAGCCTACATTATGGGTATGAATATGGTAGTTGACATGGATGTGGAAGAATTGTTAATCATGGGAGATTCTAACTTGATTATTCGACAAGCTCATTGAATGGGAAACTCGGGACATCAAGCTTATCCATACATGCAACATGTGAAAGATCTTAGCAAATAGTTCAAGTCTGTTGAATTCAGGTACATCCCTCGATTCCACAATGAGTTAGCTGATGCGCTAGCTACCTTGGTGGCAATATTGCCATATCCGGGTAATGTCCATATTGACCCATTGGAAATCCAAATTCGAGAAAGACATGGTTATTGCAATAAAGTTGAAATAGGACCGGATGTTCAACGATGGTATTATGATATCAAAAGATTTTTAAAAGCAAAGGAATATCCTGAGCAAGCCAGTGGAGACCAAAAGAGAACCATTAGAAGGCTCGCCAGCAATTTCTTCTTAAGCGGAGAGGTCTTGTACAAAAGAACTCCAGATTTGAATCTTTTAAGGTGCGTAGATTCCCAAGAGGGTGGAACGATCATGAACGAAGTGCATTCGGGAGTATGTGGGCCCCACATGAACGGATATGTCCTTGTAAAGGATATCCTTCGGGCAGGTAATTATTGGATGACCATGGAAAAGGATTGCTTC